CTTCTTCTCGGACGCCTTTTTCCATTTAAAATTTGGATGTGTATTCGTAAAGTTTCATACTTGCAGTTGAATTCTTGTAAATTATATTGATAAGTTTCTGTGTTGTGGCTTGATTCCCATGTTCCTCAAAGAATCGTTTATAGAACGAACGTAGATTGAGTCGAAAGCTTTCTCGAAATCAACAGACCTCTGGTAGGGAGGATGCTGTTTTTCTGAATTACTTGCAGCATCACCTCAAGATGATCCATCGTACTGAATCCACTTCTGAATCCTGTTTGCTCATTTGATTGCGCGTCACGCAGTTTTCGTTCAGTTCTGTTTATCACAGATATTTAGAAATTCTTTTAGATAATTAATAATAAGCTGTTCAGCCTGTAGTTCTTCAAATCCTTGAGATACATAATAATAACAGTTGGGTTTATAATTAGGTTACACTATGATCTGATTATCACACTGAATAGTCAGCTATCAGATGAGTAAATGCAGCGTGTAGCGAAGAGGGCGTTCGCATCGGATGGCATGGTCGTAAAGCTTGTCCATTCTGGTTTTACCACTCTAGAATATCATGCTGCCTCTGTTATTCACAAGTCGCTAATTTACTACTTTCTGCTCAAGGCAATTCGCGGTTAAGAAAAAGGTTGTCCTTCCTCTTGAATGTCACTCTACACGTTTGGGGTTTCAAACAGATCTCTGAGTCACTGTGCCACCATGCCCTCGATGTATTCCTGTCTATGTGCTATCCGTAGCCAAGTACCGTGCCACTGAGTCATGATGTGCGGTTGTGTGCCGCAATGCATGGCGAAAAAGTTGTGCCCTTATTTATTTCTGTATTAATTGCATTGATATCCGTTACTGTAGATTTCATTTGATGTCCGTGTTGTCAATATCGAATATTCCATTGATCTTCACGCCATTTGAAATTGAAATTAATTAATATGTTTTTGTTTATTGCTGGTGGAAGGGTGTTGAATTTACACCATTACTTAACGCTGCACTTTGTCAGTGATGCTGAATGCTTTAATGCTAAGACTTTCGTGGCGATGCAGTATCTTTTCAAAGAAAACCAATGTTGTGATCCCTCAATCGTTCATCATACAAGGCCAAATTCTCATTACAGTTAGAGCGCAGATAAAATGGACGAGAAAATTAATTAGAATAAAATCTAATTTTCATTTATTCATTTCTGATAGATTTGAAAATGGGACCTGCATCTTTCTAAATTCGATAGCATGTCTTTAACACAAGGAATAACACAATCAGAGGTTATTTTTTGTTTGTAGGCTGCCAGTTCCGGGCATACGTCGTGCTAGCACCGGTTCTATCGGCGGTTAAAGAGGAACAATACGTGCGGTTGCATCTGCAGGACGAGAGATTCTGTTTGGTGTCGGACATGCCGCCGAAGATTCTGGCATACTTCGCCACGTGTGACCTGCGTCGCTATGGTCCTCTGCAGAATAAGTTCTGCTTCGAGGTCGGTTCGAGGGCACTCGATAATTCCGGCTCGTACATTCTGCGGTCAAGCCGCTGTGACCAAATCTATGCCTACTTGCAACTAGCCGCACACCGTCAGCTGAACAATACGTTTTCGTGCAAGTCAGGATCGGGTGAGTGTTTTGCTTTTCCTCTCTTTTTCCTCTTTTCCTTTGAAATTGGTCGTGATAGTCCGCCGTGTGCGCTATTTCGTAATTTGGTAGCATTTTTAGACAACGCTGCCGGCGAATCGAATATTTTCTCGAAATTATCATCTCTTCACAAGCCTAATTCTAGGTAATGGATGCTAATGTTTTTTAAGTTCAACCTATTCGATCTTTCATTGTGTTAATCACTTTCAAAGGACGGAATCTTCCGTTAACGGTACTTGCTGTTGAACTTACGAAACCAGTCAGCTAGTCGTGCTCTTTGTTCTATTTTATTAGTTTTATTTAAGGTCGCATCTCATTATGTTGAACGAAATCAAGATGTTTCAGTCATTTTAAAGACGTTCACTGAAAAGAAACGCCTTGCTGGTCGTCGATGTGTCTAGCGTTTCACGACTTCTTGCATAAAGAATGACTGAGGAAACTACTTGTTCAACGAAATTGATTACAACGAAGTCATTTATTAATGCATCATTTTCAAGTCCACTGTTCATTTTGAGTCACCGGAGGCAACAAATGTAGAAGCTTTTCATGTGTTCGCACTCTGTTGCCATTTGACTGAGAATATGCTGGATTCCAAAGCACGATCACGCCAGTTTATCAATATACCAGACTAATTTATCCCTCGATTTTCCCCTTCGCCGTTTGTAATTTTACTGTACAATCAAAGACTGTATTGCTAAAGTCTGTCTTTGGATGACTAGTAGCCTGCCCAAATCACCATAATTTTTATCTTTGAGCAGCGTGCAAACGAGGGTATTTAAGATTGGCGAATTCTAAAGTTTTCGAGCATTACCACAGCCATAATCGTTCGAAAGAATCTGATTACAACCGTTTTTATTCAAGATTGTACTCCTTTGTTATCAACATTGAATTAAATTAAATAATAAATCTGACT